TGTTAAAAAAAATTGTTCCAACAAATTAAGTATATGTCAAAAAAAAAAAATCTTATTAAAAAAAAATTCTCCAATAAAATTTCTATCAAATAAAAGTTTTTAACGAAATAATCATCAAAAAAAAAACTCAGAAATGTGAAAAAAATTTTCTAACGAAATTTTTTATCAAAAAAAATCTTATTAAAAAATTCCCAAAGAAATTCTACCGAACAAAGCCTTTGCCTATATTAAAAATAAAAATTCCCTACAAAATTTGTTTATAAAAAAAAGCCAATAAAAAAAAAAAAATTTTTTTTTAAAACTACGCTAAACTTAAAAACATGTGACCGACAAAATATCAACCCTGTGCTGACAAAGAAACTAATTTTTGATAAAGATAAAATTATCGAGTATAGTTGGATTAAATCAAACACAGTTGGACAAAAACATCAAGCACATACGGACAAAAATATCAAGCACAGACGGATAAAAAAATAAAGCACGGACGGATAAAAATGACAAGCATGGTCGGATAAAACCATCAAGCACGTACAGATAAAACCCTGTCTCTTATACACATCTAGATGTGTATAAGAGACAGTCACTCCTCTTCGTCACCCATCACTCCTCTTTGTCTCCCATCACTTCTTTTCGTCTCCCATCACTCCTTTTCGTCTCCCATCACTCCTCTTCGTCTTTCATCACTTCCTTTTGTCTCCCATCACTCCTCTTAATCTTCCCATCACTTCTTTTTTTTATCTCCCATCACTCCTCTTTGTCACCCATTACTCCTCTTTGTCTCCAATCACTTCTTTTTGTCTCTCATCACTCATTTTCGTCTCTCATCATGTCCTATTTCTCCTTTTTGTTTCCTATCACTTCTCATTACTCTTTTTTACTCCCTTTCATCTTCTATTACTTTCCATTACTCCATTCTTATTTTTATTTTTTTATTAGCATCTTTTTCCTTGATCATTGTAATTTACTTATCTTTTTTATTTATTGTTATTGTTTCTTTTATTTGTACACTTCAATAAAAATAAATATGGTGATTTTTTTCTTTAAAATCGTAATGTGACTTAAATTTTAATATTTGTAAATAAAATTTCATTAAATAAGATTATTTTGAATAAATATGTTTGCAAAAAATTTTTTTTAAAAAATATCTTTTTAATAATAACCGATCAAAAATTAGAAAAAAACCCAGGCAATCACAATTTTAATTTATATATATTAAAAGTAGGGATGGCAACGGTCGGTCATGGTCAGTCATCGGTCGGTCATAACCGGTCAAGAACCTTTGACCGACCGACCGACCGTTTGACCGACCGGTCTGACCGACCGGTTAACTGACCGTTTGACCTGTCTCTTATACACATCTAGATGTGTATAAGAGACAGTATATATATTACTTGCAGTATTTCCAGATCCATTATATCGAGCACAATCAATAAATAATACCAATACATTTCCTGTATGAAAATCACGATGAACTGCTTTATTTTCATGAATTTTTTTAAGACCTTTAATAATATCACTTAGCACATACAATTTTTCCCTCCAATTGTAATCCCTAATAATATCATTATTGTGATTATTAAGACTTCCCCCATTTGCATATTCAAGTACAATAATATAGTCTTTTGTATCCGGATTTTGAGATATTCCACATATTTTGAGAATACAATCAACAGAATGAATAGAATATGCACTAATCTATTAAAAATAAAAATATCATTATTCATCATTTTAAAAGTATTTAATAAAGCTTAAAAAAAATAAATTATTTCATACCTCATTTAAAAATTCATTAGTAATATTTTGGGAATTATGCAAGCATTTTAAAGCAACTTTCCTATAATTCCAAGTTGCTAAGTAAACTGTAGCAAATCCACCTTTACCTATTTCTTGAATAATATTAAATTGGTTATATGGTATCCATTTAACAACCATATCATTATATCTTTCAATTTTTAATTGCATTTTTTGAATAAAATTATCGATTGCTTCATTTCCACTAGTCCAGTTTACAAAATCTTGTTTTAAATTATTTATTTGGCATGGTTTACACCATTTAACAAGTATATTAGTATATATTTCACCACATTTTTTGCAATTACAATCAGTTGGTAATACTATAACATAATCTTTTGTATCTGGATTTTGGGATATTCCATATATTTTAGCAATGTTACCTTCATTTATTTTAATAGAATATGATTTAACCTGTTACATAAAAAAGTTGGTATATTAAAAGTATTTATAAAGATTAAATACAAAAATTTAGAAGTTTCATACCTTATTTAGCAAGTTATCAATAACATTTTGTGAATTATTTAAGCATTTTAAAGTAACTTCTTTACTAGGATTTCTTTTATATTTTCCTTCTTTATACTCTAGTAAACCATTCTTCCATTTTGCCAAATATACTCTTGCAAAATCACCATTGCTTATTTCTTCAATAATACTAAATTGGTTATAAGGTATCCATTCAACTATTATATCATTATGACTTTCAATTTTTAATTGCATTTCTTGAATAAAATTATCAATTTCATTATTTCCACTAGTCCAGCTTGAAAAATTCTGTTTTAAATTACTTATTTGACATGGTCTACACC